AGCTCAAACCTAGTTAATACAGGACCACAGAGACAACCTACTCTTCCTCATTCCTAGTTTTTCTGTCATTTTGTCTGTGGTGTTTGAGGATGACTGTTGCGGGATTGTTGCTGTGTCCTCTACTGAGTGCCCAGAAGACACTGGGAATGAGGAGCGTTCTTGTGTGACCCGCTCTCGGGCCGAGGCTCCTTTGTCACTGGGACACTTGTTGGCAGAGCTTGTCATTTTGCACATTCACCAAATGGGCTTCGAATATTTTTCCTCCAGAAAAACCAGTCCACAGATTTTCAAGGCTCAGGTTTTACGTGCTTCTGCCCCTTCTTGCCCTTTCAACAGTGCATTGTGTGAAATGGTGCTTCATAGTTTCATCATTTTGTGTTGCTTTAACATCTGTTGTGGATGGCAATACATAATCCTGTGACTATCCTTTTCCCCATACCCCAAAGATATTAAAACGTGGCAGTTGGTTGCCCTGATGTGGGTACATGATACATCTGAGGAAATAGTTTCAGGCTGTGTTTATGGAGCAGAGGAGAGTGTGGGTAGGGTTAGAAACACAGACCCTGTGAACCACCTGCTGACCTTTGCCCTCAAAAAACCCTTTGGAGCTTTTTTCGTTTTGTTTGGTTTGTATCAGATTTTTTTTTGTTTTTGTTTTTTAAAGAGCATTCCTGAAAACTGGACTTTGTGTGTGTTAGGGGAGGGGATTTGTTAGGAGAGGATGGCTATTTGGTAATGAGACCTGTTCCCATAGATTGATTGGGGTGAAAGACTGAGTGGATGGGAGGTGAGAAAATGGAGGTTGTGTGAATAGACAACTTTGAAAAAGCTTATTGTTTAGAGACAAGAAAAGATCACTGACCCAATTTTTTCTTCTCTCTTTTTTTCTTTTTTCTGTGTGTGTGTGTGTGTGTGTGTGTGTGTGTGTGTGTGTTTTGTTTTTTGTTTTTTGTTTTTCCAGACGGAGTCTCGCTCTGTGGCCTAGGCTGGAGTGCAGTGGCATGATAACAGCTCACTGCAGCCTCAACTTCCTGGGCTCATGTGATCCTCCCTGTCAGCCTCCTGAGTATCGGGGACTACAGGCTTGCACCACCACAGTGGGGTGTTTTTTTTTGTTTGTTTGTTTAACCCCCAAAGCAGCCTGAATCCATTTCCTTTGGGTGTCAATGAGGACTTTCTCTTGGGTTCTTGCTTTCCCATGACCTCAAACCCTTCTCAAACTCACTGGGTCACAATCCACCTTGATTAGTGGTGCTGCCATTTTTGACTCTTCCCACTCTCCTCCCGACCAACCAGCCCTACAAAGTCCAAAATTTGTGACTATCCAAATACTCTCAAGTCTTACTGATTCATTTTCTTTATTGTCTCTTGGATTTATTCTGCTTTTTCTCTTCTCATTGCACTGCCTCCTCATCTTTTGACTGGGCTGCTATTCACTATTAAAAAGTGGGGATTATTATACCTACCTTGAGGGTTAGCTAGGAGCGTGAATTTAAATGAAATATGTGAAACATGTGGCATGGTGGTTCAGTGTTATTGGGTGTTCTGGGCTTCTTCTGTTTTCGCTCAATCCATCTCCCAAGCTCCAGTTTTTGGCCACTTCCTTTCTTCTTTATCCAGCTACCGGAGTTGTCTTCCCTAAGTACACTGCTTTTTTTTTTTTTTTTTTTTTTTAAAGGAGTCTCCGCAACCTCCGCCTCCTGGGTTCAAGCGATTTTCCTGCCTCCAAGTGATTCTCCTGCCTCAGGCTCCCAAGTAGCTATGACTACAGGTGCATGCCACCACGCCCAACTAATTTTTGTATTTTTAGTAGAGACAGGCTTTCAACATGTTGACCAGGCTAGTCTCAAACTCCTGACCTCATGATCTGCTCTCCTTGGCCTCCCAAATTGCTGTGATTACATGCGTGAGCCACTGCACCCAGCCCTTAAGTACACTGCCTTTTAAGTGTGTTCAGTGTTTCCCCATTGCTTGCAGTGTAGCCCATCCTCCTTAGAGGGAGTCCAGGCTCACAATCTAGTCCCATCTTTACTGTCCAATCTTTTAACCCTTTATAGTCTTGACTGTCACAAACCTTCTTTGCTTTTTTTTTTTTTTTTTTCCCTCGAGACAGAGTCTCACTGTGTCACCCAGGCTGGAGTGCAGCGGTGTAATCTCGGCTCACTGCAACCTCTGCCTCTAGGGTTCAAGTGATTCTCCTCCCTCAGACCCCTGAGTCGCTGGGATTACAGGCACATGCCACCACACCAGGGTAATTTGTATTTTTAGTAGAGACAGGGTTTCACCATGTTGGCCAGGCCAGTCTTGAACTCCTGATCTGAGATGAGTCATCTGCCTTGGCCTCCTAAAGTGCTGGGATTATAGGCATGAGCCACTGCGCCTGACCCTTCCTTGCTTTTTATGTCCTAGCTACATTAGACCACTAGATGTTGTTCAAAATCCTATTTTGACGTTGTCTTTGTGGTCTTTGAATCAAAGTGTCCTTTTTTCCTTTCTCCCTTATCCCTTGATTGTTTAAAACAATGAGCCAAACATTTATTAACATATTTGGTAGAATTGTGATATATATGTGCGTGTATCTACATGTATATGTATATGACAAATATAGGGATCTCATAAGCTATTTTATCATGACAAGGGGTAGCAAGAGGTCAGCTCTCCCACCTATTGGACATATTATCTGGTTGAGAAGTAACTTAAACTATTTAAACTTGTGCATTTTCATCTGTTAAATGAAGTGAGGTTCAGATGGATGGTCATTGTTTCTGCTCTTTGTAAAGTCCTTGGCCTGAACTTAATTATAACCCAGAAAAAGTGATTCTATGAGAGCTTACTCTCTGAGACCACTTTAAGTTCTAGAATAACTTAAAGAGTTTAGCTATAATCCTAGCACTTTGTGAGTTCGAGGAGGCAAGCAGATTGCTTGAGCCCAGGAGTTCCAGGTCAGCCTGGGCAACACAGTGAAACCCCATCTCTACTAAAAAATAAAAAAATTAGCCAGGCATGGTGGAGCACACCTGTGGTTCCAGCTACTTGGGGGGCTAAGGTGGGAGGATAGCCTGAGCCCGGGGAGGTTGAAGCTGCAATGAGCCGTGATTGAGCCACTGTATTCCAGCCTGGGTGACAGAGTGAGACCCTGTCTCAAAAAAAAAAAAAAAAAAAGAAAAAAGAAAAAAAACAATTTAGATGTATGGCCAGTTAACAAGATTAGGGAAAAGAAGAATGAGCATTTGTGAGTGCCAAGTACGTTATGTACCTGTGTCATTTGATCCTTTGAAAGAAACCTCCACAGGTAGGTAGATCGTTTACAGGGAGAAAATGGAGGATGAGAAAGGATAAGTTATTTGCCCAAAGTATAAATCTTGTTAGACTCTCTCTTAACTCTTGGACTCTCCCACACACAGTGATGGCTGAGCAACAGCGTGTGCTTTAGCTTTAGTCTCAGCTGGGGTTTCTTTTCTTCACAGTGATTCTTCTCTAGATTACAGACTATTTACTCTAGACAATTTGGAAAAAAAGTTTTGGTTCTGTGTACGTGTTCATCCTAGGGTTTGTGTTTTTTCCCTTTCTCTCTGGGGCAGTATTTCTATTTAAACACCATTGTAGCCATAAAAATAATATTTGGCTTTCAGTTACTGTGCTCATTTCCTTATTTCCACTGATAAAATGTGCTATGTGTGTGCATTGTATTTAATGAAACAGAAAGCAAATGTTTAACAGAATAAGAAAGAAATGAAATTCATGGCAGATATGTTATTTACCACTTTTGTGTATCTGGAGTTCTGTATAGTTCAAAATCAGGGATTTTAATGCCTTGAGTTAAGCAGTAGCAGTAGTAGCAGTAAAACAAGGTCAGCAGCAACAGCTAACATTGATTGAGCTGTGATGGTGGGTTTATATGTGTGTTACTATGTTTCCAAGTGCTTTATTTGTATTACAGGTCTTCTCAATAACCCTAGGAGGCAAGTAACCTTCTCTCCATTTTATAGATGAGGAAATCAGGATACAGAGAGGGTGGGAAACTGGCTCAAGGTCGTACAGCTAGGATACATACTCACTGACTTGGCAGTTCTGAATTAATTTAAATGTATTTTATTGATCAGTTAAATACATTATTGAAATGTCTCTCAGTTAATGTGTTATCCCCTTTCTAGGGATTTGGACTGGTTGTACTTTCTGGGGGCATTGGTTACAGAATATCTTCAGTGTAACTATAGCTAGGCCTAGTGGGGTATATATGTGACTTGCTTGAATTACTAAATTCTCTCAAGGAACTGAAGCACTCCTTACTATGCATTGTTAACAATAATATTTTTAAAATACATGTATGAAAATATTATAGATTCATGAAGGTACATTAATTTATTCTACAAAACATCATTGAAATGGAAAATTTAATATGCTTACATGCTGACTGGGGAAATATGTTGTTTTGGATTACAGGAGATAAAGGATTTTTTAAGGACTTTTTGGCAGTTATGCTAATAGGTAAACTTCTTTCTTTCTTTCTTTTTTTTTTTTTTTTTGAGACGGAGTTTTGCTCTTGTTGCCCAGGCTGGAGTGCAATGCCGGGCGTGATCTCAGCTCACCACAACCTCCGCTTCCGGGGTTCAAGCAATTCTCCTGCCTCAGTCTCCTGAGTAGCTGGGATTACAGGCATGTGCCACCATACCTGGCTAATTTTGTATTTTTAGTAGAGATGGGCTTTCTCCACGTTGGTCAGGCTGGTCTCGAACTCCCGACCTGAGGTGATCCATCTGCCTCGGCCTTCCAAAGTGCTGGGATTACAGGTGTGAGCCACTGCGCCTGGCACATCTTTCTTATTTAGCAAGAAGTAATACTGTATTCTAAAATTGTGCTTTGCAGGAAGAAAGTTTCAGCTAATACAGACATAATATTTTTATAAGTTTGGAGAAATTTTTATTGGCTAACAAATGGTACCTTGTGTTATGTTTGACTACCTTTATGTTCAACTCAGTATTTTTCCCCCTTTTTTTCAGTTCTTCACCAAAGGACATGGATGAAAATGAAAGCAACCAGTCCCTGATGACAAGCAGCCAATATCCTAAAGAAGCAGTAAGAAAACGTCAAAATTCAGCACGGAATTCCAGAGGAAGTGATTCTTCTAGGTTTTCCAGGAAAAGCTTCAAACTGGATTATAGACTAGAAGAAGATGTAACTAAATCCAAGAAAGGAAAAGATGGGAGATTTGTGAATCCGTGGCCAACATGGAAAAACCTCTCTATTCCAAATGTTCTCAGATGGCTGATAATGGAGAAAGATCACAGCAGTGTTCCAAGTTCTAAAGAGGTGGCGCTTGGCTTTTTTGAATGCTTTATATTTGCTCTTAATATATGACTAATTATTTGAGCCCTTATATATCATAAGGCGTAGAATTAGTCTGAGGAGATGAAGTGGACAGGTGTAACCTAGGCCCTAAAGTTCATCATTCAGTAACAGAGTGCATATAGGAATAACCAGCCCTGATCTAGTGGCAACTAGAGGTAGGAACAGAGTGCTTTAGAGGTACAGGAAGCAATGTGATGCTGACAGGCAGAGCTGGAGATGTCTTCACAGAGGAGATGAGTATTTCAGCTGGGCCTAGCCAACTAAAAAGTATTTTGACAGTGATTTTCCAGGTAGATGACGGCATGAACAAGGTCATGAAGGTGAGAAAGTGTATTACATGCTCTGGAAGGTAGTAGCCTGGTATGTGTGTGGAATATGGATTATGAGGGTGAAGGCATGGCCTAGAGTGCTTGGCTTTTAACCCTTGGATAAAGCTGCCAACACTGTGAAAGGGAGCTTCAGATGACCTTTCCAGACCTTGAAAAGTTGACTCTGGGTTCCTAGCCTTTAAACGTACTAGTTTTACTTAAGATGATTCTACTTGGCCTTCTGCTATTCTGTTAGAATAGATAGATCACAGTTTTGGGTTAAGTTGATTTCATGGTTTACATTGAGTATATCAATATTTTTCATTGGTGAACCAAGTAAATACTATGGCTGTGTCTCCTTTCCTTATATACCTCTCCCTCTGCCGTGTGAATAACATCTCTTTCATTTGCTTGACTTTCTGTGTATTTATGACGATTATTTTCCTGCCTCCCCTGGCCTCTCAGTGCCATTTTCCTGAGGGAAAGACTCTCAGGTGGTCGTTCAGCACTGGGCTGTAGTCTGAGCTGATGCCTTCCCAGGGTCTCTGCCGGCTTCTGTTCTAGGGTACCCTTCACCAGCCTCCTGGGCTCCCCTGTCTTCTATGGTAGCCCTTATTTTCTGCATCCCACTTGTTCCTCCTTCTGTGTCATTTTCTCATTTTAGTGGAGCATATTTTCAGTGAACTTCCTGAGAAAGGGTATATGGAAAGTAAGTTTTTTGAAAACTTGCTTGTCTGAAATGTCTTTATTCTCACTCATAATTGATAGTTTGGGTATAGAAGTTTTGTTTGGAAACAGTTTTCTCTCAGAATTTGAGAGTATTGCCTCCATAATTTTATTTCTAGTGTGGCTGTGGGGAAGCTCAGTGCCATCCTTACTCTTGATCCTTTGAACAGACCCTTTGTTTTCTCTCTAGAGACTTTGAGAATCCTCTCTTTGGTACTAGTGTTCTGAAAATTGCCATGATGTGTAGTTCTTTATTTATTCATTATGCTCTGTGTGTGGTGGGCCCTTTCAGTCTGAAAATCCATTTCCTTCAGTTCTAGGAAATTTCGTCTATATCTTTGAAAATGTCCTTCCCTACATCTTCTTATTCCAAAATGACTATTAGTTATAGTAGTTCTATTTTGGACCTCCTGGATCAATTCTCTGTAATTTAAGAAAATTTCTTGTGTGTTTATTTTTTTAAAAATATTACATGGCCAGGTGCAGTGGCTCATGCCTGTAATACCCACACTTTAGGAGGCCGAGGCAGGTGGATTGCTTGAGCTGAGGAGTTTGAGACCAACCGGGGCAATATAGCAAAATGCCATCTCTACCAAAAACAACAACAACAACAACAACAACAAAACCCAAAAATTTAGCCAGGCGCAATAGAATGTGCCTGTAATCCCAGCTACTTGGGAGGCTGAGGCAGGAGAATCACCTGAGCCTGGGAGGCAAAAGTTGCAGTGAGCCGAGATCACGCCACTACACTCCAGCCTGGGTGACAGAGCAAGACCCTGTCTCAAAAAAAAAAAAAAAATTACATTCTGAGGAGTCGGCCCCTGGGAGGAATGATGCTAGGTGCAGATGCAGTGTGGCTTTTGATGGTGCCTTATGGACAGTTGTGTCCCAAAGGAGGGATGAGAATAACCGCTGAGGTCCTAAAGAGCAAGCCTAACTCCAGCCATTGGCACACAGGCATTAAATGGAAACCTGGAAGTTGAAATGATAGAATTTCACTTGTCTAGACTAGCTTTATGGTTTTATTATTGGTAATGTTTTTATCCATTGACTGAGTGCAGATTTTTGGAGACCTTTTAAAGGTATAGAGAATCGGCTTGACAACAGTGCACATGCAGCAAGTTTTCAAGAAGCAAAGAACTAAAAATTCATGCTTGTCCCCGAGAAGTGCAGGCAGACCTGATTTCCTAGAGACGTCTAGGATTTTAATGACCACAGATAGCAAGCAAGCATGCAGCTTACCCCTTGATAGGGTCTCACTCTGTCACCCAAGCTGGAGTGCAGTAGAGCTTTGAGACTCATCACTACAGCCTCAAAACACCTGGGCTGTAGTGACCCTCAGCCTCCCAGTGGTTTTTGTAGACAGCCTGATGGAGTTTCATGGCAGAGAAGATTAATTAAACAATGTCTTTCAATTTTAATAAATTTTGGCAATTCAAAACAAATTTATATTCTTAACAATTTCCTCAATAATTTGTTTCATTTTTATTTATTATTATTATTTTTGAGACGGAGTCTCATTCTTTTTGCCCAGGCTGGAGTGCACTGGCACAGTCTCGGCTCACTGCAACCTCTGCCTCCTGACTTCAGGCGATTCTCCTGCCTCAGCCTTGCGAGTAGCTGGGACTATAGGCGCCTACCACCACGCCTGGCTAATTTTTTTTTGTATTTTTAGTAGAGACAGGGTTTCACTGTGTTTGGCCAGGCTGGTCTCGAACTGCTGACCTCAGGTGATCCACCTGCCTTGGCTTCCCAAAGTGCTGGGATTACAGGCGTGAGCCACTGTGCCTGGCCCTGTTTGTTTCATTTTTAAATCTTGTGTCTCATAGAGTCGTAGGGATGACTGAAAATGTCACCATATACAATTTTTTATAAAACCAGAAAATATGAATACTCTGATCGCAACCATTCATAAAATAGAACTACAAGTACAGATCATAATGTTAACAGTGGTTATAATCTTTGCATGTTGGTATAATGATGGCAACTATTTATATTTTTCTGCATTTTCCAAATATTAAGAGCATTTTCTCTTATAATCAAGGAGTTTAAAAATACTAAGCCATTTTGATAGATCTTATACTCTTAACACACATGGCAAAAATGTCAAACATTAGCATCAATACTTAATTGAATTGGAGTTATTTTGGTAACACATGTATCTTTATTCAGTGTTCACATATATCTTATAAATATGAAAAAGAAAAATGTTATTTTTTAATTTAAAAATCTGAGTTGCAAATTACAGTATAGGTAGTAAAGTGTTCTAAGATGGTGAAAATGTACCTTCAGTTGGAAGGAAAGGATTACCTTGTCTTCTTTAAAAGTGATATTTTAAAAACATGGTTTAAAAGGATTTGAGTCACATCTTTCTTTTTTGTCTCATTAATACACACAAACACATACTCTTAAAATAGTAAGTATATTAAGAAGATATGAGTTTCATTGTTTAATTTTAATGTAAGTTAATATGTATGCCATTGAAGGAGCATGGCTTAGTGAAAGAGAGGTCTTTTGAGTCAGGAAGATCTAGATTTCACTCCTGAAGATCTAGATGCACTCTTGTATGACTTTGGCAAGTTTCTTAGTGACCCCGGTCTGCCTTGGTCTGGTCATCTGTAAAATGGCAGTAATATTTGCTTCACAAATTTAGATGACACAGTGTACCTAAAGCACCTTGCAAAGAGTAGCTATTGAACAAATGTTAGGATTTGTTCCCTTTTCCCAAGAAAAGTAAAACATTAACTAGTATAGTGGTTAATTATGAGTCTTGGGATTTTCCATTTTGCAGCTTTCAAAAAGGAAGACCAGCCAAGAAAGTCTTGATCTAGCCATGAAAATGCCACGTGAGTGATTGGTTTCACCAAGTAAACAAGAGTCCATCCTCTCCCTACCCCTTTTTCTATATGCTTTTTCTTTCTTTCTTTCTTTTTTTTTTAAGATGGAGTTTTGCTCTTGTTGCCCAGGCTGGAGTGCAGTGGCATGATCTCGGCTCACTGCAACCTTTGCCTCCTGGGTTCAAGTGATTCTCCTGCCTCAGCCTCCCGAGTAGCTGGAATTACAGGCATGCACCACCACACCTGGCTCATTTTGTATTTTTAGTAGAGACACGGTTTCTCCATATTGGTGAGACTGGTCTTGAACTCCCGACCTCAGGTGAGCCACCCACCTCGGCCTCCCAAAGTGCTGGGATTATAGGCATGAGCCACTGTGCCCGGTCTATTATTATTTTTAAATTATTATTTATTATTATTTTTTAATAGAGGCAGGATCTCACTATGTTGCCCTGCTGGTCTTGAACTACTGGCCTCAAGCAGTTTTCTGGCCTAGGCCTCCTGAAGTGTTGGGATTACAGGCATGTACCACAGCACCAGCCTTAAAATTTTAAAAATAGTTTTAACATAATACAGGCTTCACATATTTAAAATGCACAACTTAATGAGTTGTGACATATGTATATACCCTTGAAAAGATCACCACAATCAAGATAATGAACATATATATTATCCCCTAAAGTTTCCTTGTGTTCTTTTGAAATTCATACCCCCTTATTCTCCCAACCTGGACCCCAGGCTGTTACTTTTTAAGAAAACATGTTATTAAATGAGATTTAATGAGAAGAAGTATGTTTTACTACAGTGGGTCTGGCTGGGTGACCTTGCCTGAGTGCTGTAATTTCCCTAATTCATGGTTTTCTTACCTGTAGAATGGAGCTGGTTTATAGGACCTACTTCCAGTGTTGTGGTCAGTAGCCAGTAGCAGTTAGTACAGTGTCTAGCACATAAGCACTTCATAAACGGTAGCTATTGTTAATAGTATTTTGTTTTGTGTTATGCTAAAGTACTTGATACATTAGGTAGTTCATCATCATTATGTGCCCAATATGATGCCAAGTATGAGTACATAGTAGGTACTCAGTTTATATTCATTCCCTCTCCCTTTCCTCATTAATTCTGTATATACCACTTGGCATATATCATTGTTCACTAACCCTAACTACCAATTTTAAGAACTGATTGAAAGTTGACATTCATTCATTTACTCATCCATTCAACAAATTTTGTTGAGCACATGCTGTGTTTCATTAATCAAACTGAGCACTGAATGATTCTACCTTTCATAGGACATAGGATAAATTCTGTGTACCTATAACCAGAACATCCAGAGGAGATGTGTGAATAGGGAGATACGGAAGTTGGGAGGCAGGAGTGAGTGCTTCCAGCTGTGGGACTCAAGAGATGGCCCAAAGGGATAAGGAGGAAGATAATTTAACCTGAGAAATGGGATGAATACTGTGCAGGGTTCTTGAGCTCAGTCTAGGAGTGGGAAGCAGTCTCCATGTAGATGGGGCACAGCACATGTGAAAGAGGAGCATGAAACAACCCGAGAGAACTGGGGCAGTCCCTGGGCAGCTCACTGCTGGGCTGAGGAGGTGAGACAGACTTTGTCAGGCAGTAGAGAGCCAGTGGAGATTTTGCAGCAAAGGAGAGTTAAGTTATACCTTAAATTGGCTGTTTTTGAGGTGGCTCTTGTGCATGGATTGAGTTGACAGGCAGATAGTTGAGCAATCTGAAGAGCTTTGAATGTCTGAATATTTCTTAGCATCTTAACTAGGTTAGTAGCTCCACAGAAATGCAAAAGATTGGTAGGATTGGTGCCTGGTTGGTTGTCAGGGTTGGAACTCGCTTGCTTCTTCTTTTGGAATACTTGTAGAGTGCTTATTATGTGCCAGCCACTCCTAATTCTATCCTTACAGGAATGAAGCGTAGGTACAATTATTATACCCGTTTTTCAGATGAGGAAACTAAAGGTTAGAGTGGCTAAGAGAAACATTTTTGTCCTCCACTTGTGATGCTCCTTCTCTTCCTGTCCAGGCCTTCTTCCCATTCAGACTCTCCCATTGACCTCTCAGTTTCCCTTCACCAGTATCTCCCCATCTGTCCTCTCTTGTCTCTGTCTACCGCTGTCTCCTTTGCTCAGGTCCTCATCTCTTCATATCCTGGCAACTGTTGTGACACTCTCCATGCCATCGTTTGGACTCTAGAATTGTTTTATCTAAACATAATTGGGTCATGTCTTTGTGTGCGTGTGTGTGTGTGTGTGTGCATGCATGTGTACGTGTGTGTGTACGTGTGAGGGCAAGAAGATACTTCCTAGGCTGGGTGTGGTGGCTCACACCTGTAATCCTAGCACTTTGGGAAGCAGATCGCTTCAGCCCAGGAGTTCGACACCAGCCTGGGCAACATGGAAAAACCCACCCTGTCTCTACAAAAAAAAAAAAAAAAAGATGCTTCCTCATTGTCTTAGAGTGAAGCATGACACTCAAGGCTTATTGTGTTTCCATCTTTATAGATTTAGTTTGTCCCCCTCAAACACCACATTCCTGTTTGGCTCTGTACCTTTGCTTGGGTAGTTTCTCTACCTGAAATGCCCTTCTTCCTTTTTTCTGCATCATGAATTTCTCATCATTCTTCAGGAACTCACACAAGTCACTGTGTCTGTGATGTCTTTGGCAACTGGGCTCTTCATTCCTTCTTATCAGGCTATAACATGACCTGTATTTTAACTACTTATCCAATACCACACCCTTTCAAAGTTGATTTAGTGGCAACTTACAAACATGCATAAAGCAGTAAAACAAGAAATAGATGAGGTATAGAATTACTATACCTAGCCAGTCTAGGAGCAAAATGGACTATTAGACTAGAGAAATAAAATAAAGCCAAGAATAAAGTTAATACAGAAATATGTTCCATCACGTGCTGCACATTGCTGCAGGTGGCCTCGGCTTTTCCTCTGAACTTCCTAGTTGAAGAGAGAAGTAGCATGAAATCTTAAGAGTTTTCCCAGTGACAGAAATGACAAAGCCAGGTGCTCTGGAGAAGGAGAGTTTTTCCTGTTACGAGATGGGAGAGAAATGTTTCTGGGGTAAGTAGGAAGGTGGAGGTGGTACCAAGTCTGCAGCCTGAACACATGCATGGCAAGTTTCATGAGGTGGCTTCCTATGAGAGACCTCCATGCAGCTATATAGCATGGTACCAGAGCACAATTCAGTAAAAGAGCTTTATAAAAGCCAAGACTGTGACGCTGCAACCTACAACGTTTTGGCCTAGCTTAATCCAAGTATAAAATGTAGAATAAGCAAGGAATAATACTCTTCACACTTTGTTATAGTTATTGTTTTATACCCATTTACCACCCCCCTTACCTCAGTGATCAGCTTCTCACAGGAAGGGATCATATTCACGTTGGTTTGATCAATGGTAGAAAATCAGAAAGGTAAGGAATGAGGAAAACAATTTATGACTGTGATTTGTCCAGGAATCATCACAGCGCTCCATTTTGAAACTCAGAAAGTGAGATTCAGGCCAGGCACAGTGGCTCATGCCTATAATACCAGCATTTTGGGAGGGCAGGCCAGGACGATTGCTTGAGCCCAGGAGTTCAAGACCATTCTGGGCTACATAATGAGACCCTATCTCTACAAAAAATAAAAAATTAGCTGGATATGGTGGTGCTGCGTGCCTGTGATCCCAGCTGAGAGGTTGAGGTGGGATGATCACTTGACCCTGGGAGGTTGTGGCTGTAGAGAGCTCTGATTATGCCACTGCACTCCAGCCTGGGTAACACAGTGAGAGCCTGTCTCAAACAAACAAAAAAGAAAAATATCAGATTCATGATTCATGTCTGAGATCCAAGAGCTACAAATAAATGGTCATAAGCTTTCTTTACTATTTGCAGGGACTGACCCGCTTTTAAGGCAGTTTTTAGCAGCAAATGCATCAGCTGAGTAGAATGGCAATAAAAAAATGACTGCATCTAGGCCAGTCTACTTCTGGCACTACTGAAGAGAGCCTTTAAAAAATTAATACATTTAGCAGCACTCAGAGTTTTAAATTTAATTTTCCCTTTTGCATTTGAGATGAAGAAGATTACCATATTATCGTGATTATTAAGTCAGATTCAGAAAGAAGTATGCATTTTCAAGAAAAAAGCAAAAGTGTAGCAAGTTTATTGAATAACTTTAGTTCTCTGAAAATAGCTCTTCTTGCTGTTATTTAGGTCAAAATGTGGACTATGATGATATAATACTTTTTTTTCTAACTACTCTTTTGTCTTGCTTTCTTTATACACAAAGGAACTTGACAAAGAACTCCCAGTGCTTAAGCCATATTTTATCACTAACCCTGAAGAAGCTGGAGTGAGGGAAGCTGGCTTAAGAGTCACATGGCTGGGACATGCCACAGTAATGGTGGAAATGGATGAGCTCATATTTCTCACGGATCCCATCTTTAGCTCTCGTGCTTCACCATCGCAGTACATGGGTCCAAAGCGATTTCGTCGTTCCCCGTGCACAATAAGTGAACTCCCTCCAATAGATGCAGTCCTTATCAGTCACAACCACTATGACCATCTGGACTACAATTCTGTCATTGCTTTGAATGAGCGATTTGGTAACGAGTTGAGATGGTTTGTGCCTTTGGGTCTTCTTGACTGGATGCAAAAATGTGGCTGTGAGAATGTGATTGAGTTGGACTGGTGGGAGGAGAATTGTGTCCCCGGACATGATAAGGTCACCTTTGTCTTTACACCTTCCCAGCACTGGTGTAAAAGGACTCTAATGGATGACAACAAGGTGCTGTGGGGCAGCTGGTCTGTCTTGGGGCCTTGGAATCGATTTTTTTTTGCAGGAGATACTGGTTATTGCCCTGCTTTTGAAGAGATAGGAAAAAGATTTGGACCTTTTGACCTTGCAGCTATTCCCATCGGAGCTTATGAACCAAGGTATGTAGACTTCCAAAGAAAACACTCCTGCTATGTGGTAAGTTAACTGAATTTAAAAGTAAAGCAATTATGATTTTTGTGACACTGTAATTTATGATTTTAATGGTGGACTTTGTTATACATGATTGGGGGTCGGTGGGTCAGATTCAGTTAGATTTTATTTTTAAATATTTTAAATTAAATATTTTTTAAATTGGCAAGTAAAAATTGTGTATATGGTGTGCAACATGATGTTTTGATATATGTATGCATTATGGAATGACTAAATCAAACTGTTTTACATGTGCATTATCTCACATACTTATGTTTTTGTGGTGAGAATTAAAATATTTTAATTATAGTTGTATCGGTTAAAAAAATTACTCAAAATCAGGGATGATGTTATCATAAAAAAGGATCAAGGTTTAAAGAATTACTATACCTAGCCAGAAGTTCACATACCATTCAACTACACTGGTCAGCCAGTAATAAAACCTACTCTTGTTCTTTTACATGGAGAATACTTTCTTCATATAACCACTTTTTGCTCCATAACTTGAGTGCCCCAATCCCCTGTCCTATAGCTCTCCTACGTTTAGCAAAGAGAAAAAGCAGGGAACTGGCCTATAGCATTAGTCCTTGCTGATTGTTTTATTTCAGTCAGCACTGAAGTTAATCTGGTCATGGTGTTGTTGTGCTACTCATCACTCATCCTCCAACCTTGACATACTAATGACCTGTTTCAGAGCAGTGAAAGGTCACGCTCTCATTGGACACCAAGGAGACTCATCCACTGTCTTCGTTTCCTTAATATTCTGTGTTTAGGGAAAAGAGAAGTGATTTCAAAGAATTAAATTAGATTTCAGTCAACTCTGGTTTATATGTGCAAATAAAGAGAAAACAAAACACTGATAGTAACAAAGCAATGGATAATTTAAAAAATATTTTATTCTATAGTGCATGGACAGATACATACAAAAACATTTTGTTTAGGTAATTCCATAAGCAGAAGAACAAGTATTTCTCTAATACATAGATTAATTGAATGAATCTAATCTTTTGTTTTCATCTGATTTTGTTATTTGCTAAATTTTTACATTCACTAAAACCATTTTGTTCCTATTTTTATTTATTAATGCTTATTTATCCCTTTTTTGTTTTGTGCTAGTTTCCTTATTTGGAGGGGCTAGATATTTTTACCCTTTTTTGGTTCTTGGTAATTGTTAAAATGATTACAAATCAATATTGGCGCTTCAATTTTACTTTTCTAATTAGTTATAATTCTAACGAAACCTCTCAAAACCTGTCAACTTGTATATTTTTAGAACTGTTACAAATCAGTTTTATATTTGTAACATAAAATTGGTCTTTACTCGATGTATGTTCCTTTTTTGTTTGTTTGTTTGAGACGGAGTCTTACTCTCTTGCCCAGGTTGGAATGCAGTGGTGTGATCTTGGCTCACTGCAACCTCTGCCTCTGGGTCCAAGTGATTCTTCTGCCTCAGCCTCCCAAATATCTGGGACTACAGGTGCCTGCCACCATGTCCGGCTAGTTTTTGTGTGTGTGTTTTTAGTAGAGACAGGGTTTCACCATGTTGGCTAGACTGGTTTCGAACTCCTGACCTCAAGTGATCTGCCTGCCTGGGCCTCCCAAAGTGGTAGGATTACAGGCGTGAGCCACCGTACCCAGCCTGATGTATGTTCTTAATAGATTAGAACATCTTTTATTTGTTGTTATGAAAATAAGTTTTCATATGTAGTAATATATAAATTTGTCACATATATTTGTGATGATAGAATGTGTACAACCAAATTTACTCACATAATCCCCTTTCCTGCTTGCATTGCAGGCAAACAGGAAACAACTAAGATGGAAAAAAGACAAGGAGGCTATTATTTGCCCCAAGAAAGTTAAATTGTGAGAGCCTCTAATGTGTAATCTGTTTCTTTGGTTACTATTAACGGCTTTAGAAATAAGACATCGAATAAAGCTTGAGAGTGCTGTATAAATTTAAGATGTTTACACCGAAAACAACTTTCAGTAAGATGCTTGGAATGTTTCATTCTTACTTTAGGGAATCTCCTGTCACCAGGTATTCTATCCGAGTCAGTTAAGATTTTAAGTTTTTATTTTAATTGTTATATCAGAATAAAAATTTTAAATCTATTTCAGGTGGAAAGGAATGTATCTATCCCTTTGATTTGCACTAGGATTTAAAAAAAATCAAGAGAGAAACAGCAAAAACCATTTTCATCTTTCCCTGAATTCCAAGAGTCAGGAGATATGGCAGAACAGTGCTGCTCTCATTTGCTGTTGAGAACACAGTGGCTTTGTTTTCAGGCTTCTGTAGGACCCAGCAGCTCCTAACAGTAAATATCTGTTGCAGATGGATAAACTTCTCCATGATGTCTTCTGTAAAGTGTGGAAGCTCCTGTGCTGAATCCATGTCTGTTGGTCTTCACTGTAGTGTTAGTTGTCACTGGCAGACTAGGATGTAAATAATGTGAACACAGTGTTGTTTTTCCTCCTTGAAACTGATGGCTTGGAAGGCAAAGGATTTGCTTGTAGACAGTACACTTTCTCCTTTGTATCAGGAATAATACTTCTTTCTTCTGAAAGTATTGGTTTTGTTTACTCTTTTGGGAGAATTCTATGAAAGTAGATGATGTTCTCTATGCCTTCCTAAGCCTTGTCTTGTTTAATCCTCACAATACCCTCACATAATGGGGTAAATTTATATTTCATGGACAAAGAAATAGAAGCTCAGAGAATTTGAACAGACTTTCCAAAGGCATTCTAAGAACTGCAGGAGCTGGGATTCACACCCAAACCTTCTGCCTCCTGAGCCCTTGCTCTTCCCAAGGCATTAGGCAGCCTTTCATTATTTCCTTCATCATTTACCCATTAGTCTGATGTTCTTGCCAAACCGAACACCTCATTGTTCAGTTTTATGGTTAAATAAAATTTCTTGAATAGTAATTGGATATTTTGGCTCCTGGTCTTTAAATTTTATATACTAGTTTTTGTTTATTTTTGCTTTAGCAAGTTTTTACAAATTTGTATCAGCAGGACATACAAATTCTTTTGTAATTGGAGTTTTGGTTTTTATTTCTTTACCAGCTATTCAGTTTCTTTGATTCATATCCAGGACTGTAAAATATCTACTTTTAAAAGTAACAGTGAGTCAGGACTTATTTCCCAGTCTCAATGGATAAAGTAAAAAAACTGGCAGCTGGGCACACTGGCTCACGTCTGTAATCCCAGCACTTTGGGACGCAGAGGTAGGCAGATCACAAGGTCAGGAGATCAAGACCATCCTGGCTAACATGGTGAAACCCCATCTCTACTAAAAATACAAAAAATTAGCTGGGTGTGGTGGCGGGCACCTGTAGTCCCACCTACTCGGGAGGCTGAGGCAGGAGAATCACTTGAACCCAGGAGGTGGAGGTTGCAGTGAGCTGGGATCATGGCACTGCACTCTAGCCTGGGCGACAGAGTGAGACTCAGTCTCAGAAAAAAAAAAAAAAAAAAAACTGGCAAAAACCAGCAGATGGTGACAAAAGTGATCCCTAGCTGCCCTCATTGCTCATTAGCCTAAGACACTCCCACCATCACCATGACAGTTTACAAATGCCATGGCAACAACCTAGAAGTTACTGCCCCTTTCCATGGCAATGACCAAGAAGTTACCACCCCATGCCTAGAAAGTTCTAAATAATCTGCCCTTCAATTTGCATTAACCCATTCCCTAATTTACATATAATTAAAAGTGGGTATAAGTGAGTATAAATACAGTTGCCAACCCCTCATATGTTGCCAACTCTGAGTGCACTTACTATCTATAACAGCCCTGCTCCGCAAGGAGCAGTATCATTTAATAAAAATTGCTGGCCAACACCACTGGCTTGCCCTTGAATTCTTTCCTTTGTGAGGCCAAAAACCCTCCTGGGCTAAGCCCCAGTTTTGGGGCTTGCCTCCCCTGCATCATCAGTAAGTTGTGTCTTCAGATAGAGCCAGTAAAATCAAAGTATACATGAAACAAAAATCTCACTATTCAGAGGGGAGTTTGCTTGAGACTTACTTATTTTATAGCAATTTGTTCAAAAAAGACTTTTGCTTGTTTTATTTTTCAGCAGAAAGTGTATTAAAGGGAGATGGTTTTGCTCCTGTGACTTACTCCTGTGCAGAATTTGTTTTGTTTTGTTTTTACAATCTAGCCTTGACCTGACTTTCAGACTTGGTTTCTAGCTCATCCTCCCCAAAATTGCATGCTTTATCCCAGTGAGTGGTTCTTAATTCTCAACATCCATAGTCCTGCACAGAATCTTAAAGTTTGATTAAATGAAACAGATTTTAGAATTTAGTGTATATCTCAAAGGTCAGAATTAAGAAATTGCCTTGTTTCATCAGGTGGTTTATGAAATACCAGCATGTAGACCCAGAAGAAGCTGTAAGGATTCACATTGATGTCCAAACAAAGAAATCTATGGCAATTCACTGGGGAACTTTTGCCTTAGCAAATGAGGTAAGTTTGATTGTGATAAAAATAACTGTGTGTTTGACCAATGACAGGATTCAGGCATCACTGTTCCCTAGTTTTCAGACCCAAGACTCTGGAAGCAGATACTGCATACTCATCACAGTCACTGCATGAATTAGGGTGGTAAATCATACTAATTAGTAGAACAATACACACATATACAGTCAGAAAAAAATAAAAGCTCATTGTGTTTTCTTTTGGCTTATTTCTGAAGTTAGTAAAGCTTGTGTTTGTATAACCAAAAGTCTGTATGTGATCTGGAGAATAGAAAAGCAAGCCATCATGTCTCACCCCTCAAGCAGGCTCTCATGCTAGCAGAAGACAGAAGTCATGTATGTGATACAGATGTTAGAAGGGGAAAGTGCTGTAATGTGGAACAGATGACATGGTCTCAGAATCAGGACGTTTGCTGATGGCAGGGATCAGAGAGAGCTTGATGGAATAAGTGACAGTTGAACTTGGCTCTGAGAGGGCAGGGAGGAAGGCATTATCAGAGGAGGAAAGGGCAGAGCATAGGCTTGGAGGCAGCTAGTGTGGGGAATACTTGAATCAGTTCAGCAGGAGAGTGGAGGGCAATAGGGAGAAGTAAGGCTAGTGTGGAACTTTCAAGAAATACGTTCAGTAAACATTGACTCGGTGTCTGCTATGTGCTAGGCATAGGGATAAATGTGATTTTATTCCTAGATTAAAACACAAGAGCTAATTTTTCCTTAAGGCAGATGGACCCTAGAACTTTGCTACTAGCCTGGGTTCTGAGAGCAGAGGATAGTATAAAGCTTTCTCTCCTTTCCTGGATCCAAGGTCTTCTCTAAACAAAACTTAGAAATGTATGGTTAGGCCAGGCGCGGTGGCTCACACCTGTAATCCCAGCAATTTGGGAGGCTGAGGCAGGTGGATCACTTAAGGTCAGGAGTTCAAGACCAGCCTGACCAACATGGTGAAACCCTGTCTGTACTAAAAATACAAAAAAATTAGCCAGGTGTGGTGGTGTGTGCCTGTCATCCCAGCTACTTGGGAGGCTGAGGCAGGAGAATTGCTTGAACCCAGTAAGTGGAGGTGAGAGTAAGTCGAGATTGTGCCACTGCACTCCAGCCTGTGCAAAAGAGTGAGATTTGGCTGGGCACCTGTGGCTTACACCTGTAATCCCAGAACTTTGGGAGTCTGAGGCAGGTGGATCACCTGAGGTCATGAGTTCAAGACCAGCCTGGCCAACATGATGAAACTCCGTCTACTAAAATTAGCCAGGCATGGTGGCAGGAACCTATAATCCCAGCTACTCGGGAGGCTGAGGCAGGAGAATAACTTGAACCTGGGGGACAGAGGTTGCAGTGAGCCGAGATCACGGCACTTCCCTCCAGCCTGGGTGAAAGAGTGAAACTCTGTCTCGATAAAAACAAACAAACAAAACCCAAAAAGTGTGGTTAGTACTTGGCTTCTTTACTTCCTGTGGTATCTTCCATCCCAGAGCCTCTCTGCAGGAACCCAGTGTTTTCTTGTGGTTTTAAGTACTCCTCTGTCTCATTTATGGCCCGTCCTCTCCCAAAGATACAGTGAGTTCCAAAATTACCTAGTACACTGCCTGCCCATTCCCCCACTCCCTAATCAAAATTCCTGTGCCATGAGGCAGCAATCCTGAGCCACAATGCAGCAATTCTTAGCCACTGTTGGGAGAAGGAATAGAATAATGACTAACCATGGGGTTGTGGGGAGGATAAATGAGAATATAAATGTGGGTGTGTGGGTGTGTATTTGGAGAAGGGAGAAGTTTGAGACTGGTTTCCAGTGCCATACCACTATATTTAGTGACAATTTCTTATTCCATCTATATATGTGTGCGTGTATGCACATATTCCATATGTATATTCCATATATATGTGACTCAGCTGAAGTAATGGTATTTTATTAAACCTACACAAAGAGAGGAATCAAGGTTGACTCCTAGATTTTTAGCTTAAATAGCTGGTTAGACAGTTGTGCTCTTTACTGAGATGGGGAAGATGTGGAGAGGATTAAAAAACCTGTCTTTGAGAATTATCGTATTATTCAGCCCTCAAGAATTATTCCTGTTATAAACCTAACCTCCATCTTTATTTCTTTTTTTTTTTTTTTTTTGAGATGGACTCTCGCTCTGTCGCAAAGGCTGGAGTGCAGTGGTGTGATCTCGGCTCACTGCAAGATCTGCCTCCCGGGTTCACGCCATTCTCCTGCCTCAACCTCTGGAGTAGCTGGGACTACAGGCGCCCGCCACCACTTCCGGCTAATTTTTTGTATTTTTTTTAGTAGAGACGGGGTTTCACCATGTTAGCCAGGATAGTCTTGATCTGCTGACCTCGTGATCCGCCCGCCTTGGCCTCCCAAAGTGCTGGGATTACAGGCGTGAGCCACCACGCCCGGCCAATCTTTATTTCTTAATGAGAATGTAATAAAAACTCATTTAGCTTTTAGCAATTTGGAATTTGTTCATGTTTTGATGTTGAATAAACCTCATAAGTATGAGTTAGTTGAATTATAAAGTAGATATAATCTTCAGAGAGGATCTGTTACCCATTACTTTTTTGTTGTTGTTGTTATACTTTAAGTTCTAGGGTACTTGTGCAGAACGTACAGGTTTGTTACATAGGTATACACGTGCCATGGTGGTTTGCTGCACCCATCAACCCGTCATCTACATTAGGTATTTCTCCTAATGCTATCCCTTCCCTAGCCCCCCACCCCCTGACAGGCCCCAATGTGTGATGTTCCCCTCCTTGTGTCCATGTGTTCTCATTGTTCACCTCCCACTTATGAATGAGAACATGCGGCGTTTGGTTTTCTGTTCCCGTGTTAGTTTGCTGAGAATGATGGTTTCCAGCTTCATCCAGGTCCCTGCAAAGGACATGAACTCATCAATTTTTATGGCTGCATAGTGTTCCATGGTGTATATGCGCCACATTTTCTTTATCCAGTCTATCATTGATGGGCATTTGGGTTGGTTCCAAGTCTTTGCTATTGTGAACAGTGCCTTAATAAACACACATGTGCATGAGTCTTTATAGTAGAATGATTTATAATCCTTTGGGTATATACCCAGTAATGGGATTCCTGGGTCAAATGGTATTTCTGGTTCTAGATCCTTGAGGAATCACCACACTGTCTTCCACAATGGTTGAACTAATTTACACTCCCACCAGCAGTGTAAAAGCATTCCTATTTCTCCACATCCACTTCAACATCTGTGGTTTCCTGACTTTTTAATGATCACAATTCTAACTGGAGTGAGATGGTATCTCAATATGGTTTTGATTTGCATTTCTCTAATGACCAGTGATGATGAGTCTTTTTTTCGTATGTTTGTTGGCTGCATAAATGTCTTCTTTTGAGAAGTATCTGTTCATATCCTTTGCCCACTTTTTGATGGGGTTGTTTTTTTCTTGTAAATTTGTTTAAGTTCATTGTAGATTTTGGATATTAGCACTTTGTCAGATGGATAGATCGCAAAAATTTTCTCCCGTTCTGTAGGTTGCCTGTTGATTCTGCTGATTGTTTCTTTTGCTGTGCAGAAGCTCTTTAGTTTAATTAGATCCCATTTGTCTATTTTGGCTTTTGTTGTCATTGCTTTTGGTATTTTAGTCATGAAGTCTTTGCCCATTCCCATGTCCTGAATGGTATTGCCTAGGTTTTCTTCTAGGGTTTTTATGGTTTTAGGTCTTACATTTAAGTCTTTAATCCATCTTGAGTTAATTTTTGTATAAGGTGTAAGGAAGGGATCCAGCTTTCTGCATATGGCTAGCCAGTTTTTCCAGCACCATTTATTAAATAGGGAATCCTTTCCCCATTTTTTGTATTTGTCATGTTTGTCAAAGATCAGATGGTTGTATATGTGTGGTGTTATTTCTGAGGCCTCTGTTCTGTTCTATTGGTCTATATATCTATTTTGGTACCAGTACCATGCTGTTTTGGTTACTGTAGCCTTGTAGTATAGTTTGAAGTCAGGTAGCATGATGCCTCCAGCTTTGTTCTTTTTGCTTAGGATTGTCTTGGCTATGTGGGCTCTTTTTTGGTTCCATATGAAATTTAAAGTAGTTTTTTCCAGTTCTGTGAAGAAAGTCAATGGTAGCTTGATGGGGGTAGTGTTGAATCTATAAATTACTTTGGGCAGTATGGCCATTTTCACAATATTGATTCTTCCTATCCATGAGCATGGAATGTTTTTCCATTTGTTTGTGTCCTCTCTTATTTCCTTGAGCAGTGGTTTGTAGTTTTTCTCGAAGTCCTTCACATCTCTTGTAAGTTGTATTTCTAGATATTTTATTCTCTTTGTAGCAATTGAGAATGGGAGTTCACTCATGATTTGACTGTCTGTTATTGGTGTATAGGAATGCTTGTGATTTTTGATTCTGTATAGGAATGCTTGTGATATATTGATTTTTGTATCCTGAGACTTTGCTGAAATTGCTTATCAGCTTAAGGAGATTTTGGGCTGAGGCATTGCGTATTTCTCAATATACAATTATGTCATCTGCAAACAGAGACAATTTGACTTCCTCTTTTCCTAATTGAATACCCGTTATTTCTTTCTCTTGCCTGATTGCTCTGGCCAGAAGTTCCAATACTATGTTTAACAGGAGTGGTGAGCGAGGGCATCCTTGTCTTGTGCCGGTTTTCAAAGGGAATGCTTCCAGTTTTTGCCCATTCAGTATGATGTTGGCTGTGGGTTTGTCATAAACAGCTCTTACTATTTTGAGATATGTTCCATTAATACCTAGTTTATCGAGAGTTTTTAGCTTGAAGGGCTGTTGACTTTTGTCAAAGGTCTTTTCTGCTTCTATTGAGACAATCCTGTGGTTTTTGTCATTGGTTCTGTTTATGTGATGGATTACGTTTATTGATTTGCATATGTTGAACCAGCCTTGCATCCCAGGGATGAAGCTGACTTGATCGTGGTGGATAAGCTTTTTGATGTGCTGCTGGATTCGGTTTGCCATTATTGAGGATTTTCTCATCAATGTTCATCAGGGATATTGGCCTGAAATTTTCTTTCTTTTTTTTTTTTTTTGTTGTGTCTCTGCCAGGTTTTGGTATCTCTGCCAGGTTTTGGTATCAGGATGTGGTATCAGGATGATGCTGGTCTCATAAAATGAGTTAGGGAAGATTCCCTCTTTTTCTATTGTTTGGAATAGTTTTAGAAGGAATGTACCAGCTCCTCTTTGTACCTCTGGTAGATTTTGGCTGTGAATCTGTCTGGTCCTGGATTTTTTTGATTGGCAGACTATTAATTTCTGCCTCAATTTCAGAACTTGTTATTGGTCCATTCAGGAATTTGACTTCTTCCTAGTTTAGTCTTAGGATAGTGTATGTGTCCAGGAATTTATCTATTTCTTCTAGATTTTCTACTTTATTTGCGTAGAGGTGTTCATAGTATTCTCTGATGGTAGTTTGTATTTCTGTGGGATTGGTGGTGATATCTCCTTTATCATTTTTTATTGCGTCTGTTTGATTCTTCTCTCTTTTCTTCTTTATTAATCTGGCGAATGGTCTATTATGTTGATCTTTTCAAAAAACCAACTTCTGGATTCATTGATTTTTTAAAGAATTTTTCGTGTCTCTATCTCCTTCAGTTCTGCTCTGATCTTAGTTATTTCTTGTCTTCTCGCTTTTGAGTTTGTTTGCTCTTGCTTCTCTAGTTTAGTTGTGATTTTAGGGTGTCGATTTTAGATCTTTCCCACTTTCTCTTGTGGGCATTTAATGCTATAAATTTCCCTCTATACACTGCTTTAAATGTGTCCCAGAGATTCTGGTACATTGTGTCTTTGTTCTCATTGGTTTCAAAGAACATCTTTATTTCTGCCTTAATTTCATTATTTACCCATAGTCATTCAGGAGCAGGTTTTTCAGTTTCCATGCAGTTGTGTGGTTTTGAGTGAATTTCTTAATCTTGAGTTCTAATTTGACTGCACTGTGGTCTGAGAGACTATTATGATTTCCTTTCTTTTGCATTTGTTGGAGTGTTTTACTTCCAATTATGTGGTCAATTTTAGAATAAGTGCAATGTGGTTCTGAGAAGAATGTATATTCTGTTGATTTGGGGTGGAGAGTTCTGTAGATGTCTGTTAGGTCTGCTTGGTTCAGAGCTGAGTTCAATTCTTGGATATCCTTGTTAATTTTCTGTCTCGTTGATCTATCTAATATTGAAAGTGTGGTGTTAAAGTCTTCCACTATTATTGTGTGGGAGTCTAAGTCTCTTTGTAGGTCTCTAAGAACTTGCTTTATGAATCTGGGTGCTCCTGTATTGGGTGCATATATATTTAGGGTAGTTAGCTCTTCCTGATGAATTGATCCCTTTACCATTATGTAATGGCCTTCTTTGTATCTTTTGATCTTTGTTGGTTTAAAGTCTGTTTTATCAGAGACTAGGATTGCAACCCCTGCTTTCCATTTGCTTGGTAAGTATTCCTCCATCCCTTTATTTTGAGCCAATGTGTGTCTTTGCACGTGAGATGGGTCTCCTGAATACAGCACACTGATGGGTCTTGACTCTTTATCCAATTTGCCAATCTGTGTCTTTTAATTGGGGCATTAACCCAATTACATTTAAGGTTGATATTGTTATGTGTGAATTTGATCCTGTCATTATGATGCTAGCTGGTTATTTTGCTTGTTAATGCAGTTTATTCATAGTGTTGATGGTCTTTGCAATTTGGTATGTTTTTGCAGTGGCTGGTACCAGTTGTTTCTGTCCATGTTTAGTGCTTCTTTCAGGAGCTCTTGTAAGGCAGGCCTGGTGGTGACAAAAATCTCTCAGCATTTGCTTGTCTGTAAAGGATTTTATTTCTCCTTCGCTTATGAAGCTTAGTTTGGTTGGATATGAAATTCCGGGTTGAAAATTCTAAGAATGTTGAGCTGGGTGTGGTGGCTCACGCCTGTAATCCCAGCACTTTGGGAGGCTGAGGTGGGGAGATCACAAGGTCAGGAGTTCGAGACCAGCCTGACCAACGTGGTGAAACCCGGTCTCTAATAAAAATGCAAAAATTAACCAGGTGTTGTGGCACATGCCTGTGATCCCAGCTACTCAGGAGGCTGAGGCAGGATAACTGCTTGAACCCAGGAGGTGGAGGTTGCAGTGAGCCGAGATTGTGCCACTGCACTCCAGTCTGGGCAACAGAGTGAGACTCTGTCTCAAAAAAAAAAAAGAAAAAAAAGAAAAAAAGAATGTTGAATATCGGCCCCTCCTCTCTTCTGGGTTTGTAGAGTTTCTGCTCAGAAATCCGGTGTTAGTCTGATGGGCTTCCCTTTCTTGGTAACCTGACGTTTCTCTCTGGGTCCCCTTCACATTTTTTCCTTCATTTCACCCTTGGTGAATCTGATGGTTATCTCAGATTCTTTGCATATATGCTGTTATAGTAACTGCCTCCTGTAATATAAGCAGATTAAGGATGTCCTTAACTTGGCAATACTCTAAAATTGCATATATAGCAACATCTAATTTATCTAGGGAATGATGAGTGGATTTCCTACATATATTTAAGCCCTAAAACTTAAATTACTAGTTTTGATGGAAACGAATTTCAAGCATTACATAATATGTACATTGCCTTTCAAGTGATCAGGGTCTTTGAATATATTCTATTGTAGTATATCATGAAACTGACCCCTGCAGGAATTTACAAGTTGTGTGTGGCTAGCTGCCTAGACCCTAATGGATCCAGAGTGCTGGGAGTCTTCTGCTTTTCCCACTTCCTCATACTGATCTCTGATATACTTTGCTTTATACATAGTTGTTTTGTCCCATGGTTATGGGGCATTTTTATCTCCCTTGTGGACGAAAGAGCTTGGACTATGAGCTCTCAGTCACTCAGAAGCCTTTCAGACCTACCTCCAAGGTTTTCTAGATGTTGAAACAGTGAAGAATTGATCTATGAAGAAACTCAGAAAGATACTGCTAAATCTAGGCAGATTAAAGACAGAGGGTCTACTGCCAACTCTAACATATCAGAATTCTCACTAAATCCACACATTGCACTCCACACTAAAGTTAATGGCTTAACAAGTAAGTTACCAATGTAGGGTGACTGTGTGAGTGTCTTGTTGGCCCAGACTTGTAGAGCATGGGAGAAAGAGAATTTAACAAAAGAAGTTATTTTTCAATGGGAAAAAAAGTTCATCACTTTGAAATCTCTTAAAATAATTTAGGAAATTATTTTAGGGGAAATTTCTTGACTTAAGGTATAAAGTTAAATTTTATTGATAATATAATTAGTGATCTTTTTCCTTTATATATAAAACAGATTAAAAGTAAATTCCTGTTATCAACTATCCATTAGTAAGGGGTTAGTTCTAGGAATATTGGATAACCAACACATAGTTAAAACTGAACGTACTCAGTAGTCAGTCGAAAGGTATCCTTGATCTTTTTTTTTCTTTGAGATGGAGTCTCGCTCTGTTGCCCAGGCTGGAGTACAGTGGTGCAATCTCAGCTCACTGCAAGCTCCGCCTCCCGGGTTCATGCCATTCTCCTGCCTCAGCCTCCTGAGTAGCTGGGACTGCAGGCACCCACCACCACGCCTGGCTAATTTTTGTATTTTTAGTAGAGACAGGGTTTCACCTTGTTAGCCAGGATGGTCTTGATCTCCTGACCTCGTGGTCTGCCCACCTCGGCCTCCCAAAGTGCTGGGAACTACAGGTGTGAGCCACCGTGCCCTGCTGATCTTTAAACATAGCCATAAAACCTGGAACTGAGCAAGGGGGAAAAGGATGACCTGTGTGTGGCCACTGTTACCAAACCTGTGCATTTAAGGGTTCAGGAAACTTACCTGGTTTTCCTTGTACATCATTGACTGTCCTTTCTTATTCTTTGTTGCTAGTTCCTCCTCTCCGCTTGCTCTGAACAGGGCGTGCCGTAGGAGTCAGTCTATGGACCTCTTCTCTTCTATAGTTGGTTTCTCCCTTGGGAATCGCATCCAGTATTATGGCTTCAAATACCACCTCTCTGCTGTTCCTCTCTAGCTATTTTTCTTCTATAATCCACATTTATATATCCAACTGCCTCCTTCACATCTCCACTTGGATATCCATTAGGTACCTAGAACTAAAGTCTGAAATTCAACTTCCTCATCTTCCCTCTCCAGCTTACTTTTCAAACATCTCAGTAAAGGGCGACTCCCATTTAGCAATACTCAGGGCAAAATCTTGACTCCTCTTTGCCACACACAGGTAAACCTTCAGATTATATTCTCTGGGATCCTCTTTCATTCTGTAGACTGGTTTCTGTATGTGACTAGACTTTTTGAGAGTAACAACCCTCTTCAGCCAAAACAATTTGCTGTAGTATTTGGCTACACACCCACCCACCACAATCTCAAGATTTCTATATTTTTCAAAAATGTTGGTAACATGTAATTCTCTAATACCATCATCTTTGGCACCGATTCTGTTTAGATTGGAATTTCATATGGTGAAACCGTGATAAGATTTCATGCAATCCAGTGATGTTCAAAGTAAGATGGCACCAAATTTGACATACGTGGTGTTGGCATGATTTCTGTCCAACCAAATACCTTTCTGTTGACTTATTTCATGACTCAAAACTGTATTAGAAAATGTGATACACCCATTTGCTAATGCTTCAATTAAAAGAAAGGGCCTTATTTTAACTATGCATATGTTATTTTAGTTTGAACTGTTATTTGAATAATCTCCCAAATATGTGTATAATCTTTTTCTGTTTTTCTTCTTTCTACCTTTCGCCAGCATTACTTAGAGCCTCCAGTGAAGCTGAATGAAGCTCTAGAGAGATACGGACTTAATGCTGAAGATTTTTTTGTCTTGAAGCATGGAGAATCAAGATACCTAAATACTGATGATGAAAACTTTTAATAAATGTGAGCACAGGCACTTTTAATGAAAAAGGCATCATCTGAGTTTAAAAACAAGTGAAAAGACTTAGAAATTCATGAATATTGTGATTCTTTTACATTTGGAAACAACTTCTGCAAGTTTATGTTTTATGTTTTGTGTAATAACTTGCTTCCTAATATGATCAGCTCATATACACTGTGAGAGGGTTCAGGGGTGGGTCATTTAAATTATGAATTGGCTAATGTGAATTTTAAATCTCCTACCATGATATAAGCACTGCAATGGAAATGTTTTTACTAAAGCATTACACTTTTGTGGTAGTAGAATTTCCTGAGATTGTGAAAAACTGATATTGAAGACTCATTTTGTTTTTTCCATTCTTCAGGACCTTCTGCAAGGTGAGTCAAGCCTGTCTACCCACCTAGATTTTTTTCAGAGGCCTACAAATACAAGTATCTTTCTTATATGCACATTATAATAAATGATGAAATTCAGTCCAACATGCTTATTATAAACAGCAATTCTTGCTCTATCAAGATTAGCTTATATGCCAAATATTAAATATGGCTTATTTCAGTAAGCATAAAAACATAGGGGCTATCATTTTTAAAGACTTGATTTTTTCTGTTGTGGTAAAAATATATAAATACATATTTGCCATTTTAAACATTTACCATTTTAACCATTTTTAAGTGTACCGTTCTTTCGCATTAATGCACCCATGACCACCATTCACTTAAGGTTTTGAAAGAGGGAACAGTATATTTTTTTTCCTAGAGCCTTCAGATGAGAGGAAACAGTGTATTCTGTTGCACATCTACAATTCCCAAAAGACCTCTTACTTTGGGAGGCCAAGGTGGGTGGATCACTTGAACCCAGGAAGTCGACATCAGCCTGGGCAACATGGTGACTTCGTCTCTCGGGGGGAAAAAAAAAAAAATTAGCCGGGTGAGGTGGTGTGTACCTGTAATCACAGGTACTTGGGAGGCTGAGGTGGGAGGATCACTTGAGCCCAGGAGGTAGAGGCTGCAGTGAGCTGTGATTATACCACTGCACTCCAGCCTGGGCGACAAAATGAGACCCTGTCTCGAAAGAAAGCCCTCTTCTTAGCTGAGCAGAGGAAGGGAAGGGGTGTGGCTATGAGAATATGATTTATGCCATTTTCTTTTTTTAAATCTAGAAGATCTTCTAAGCACAAATATAGCTACAATGAAGTATTTTACAGATAAAATGTTAATAAATGTTAATAGACCATATACTTTGAATTAAATTTTATGTTTTTAAATTTCTCTACACATTTTCTTTTTCCGGGGTCTCTTAGCTCTAAATATATCAGTCAGATTTATAATTTTTTTTACATGATTCAGATGTCTTATATTTTTATATTAAATGAACCTTAAGCATGATTCTTTTGGTAAGCCAGTATGAACACCAGTGGTTACAAAAAAAAAAAAAAAGTCGGTTGACGTAAGATTTAGTCCTAATAAGGGCTCTGTATTCACTTGATTATTCTGACCCTTCCTAAGGGAGGGAGTTGGATTAGATACTGCTGGAGGCCCATTCTGTATTCCTAATCCAGTCTCAGCACTTTATTCATACAAAATAATCAAAATAGGTTTTCTACACCAAATGCTACCCAGGCAGTGCTCTATGATTTACTCATGTGTATGTGTAGTGCCACACGTTAGCCACTAAATCTGAACTTTTACCCTGCTTTCATCATGGATTTTTTGTGTAACCTGAAACAAGTCACCAATGCTCACTGTGCCTGTTTCCTCATTTGCAACAAGAGGATAATTCCGACCTACCTCTGAAAAATGTGTAGAATAAATGAGTTTTTAAAACACTTTAGAAATATAAGGGAGAAAATCATTTCTTAAGATATCACTGCCTAATATAGATAGGTATATTTGAAAGCTGAATATAGGTTAATGCTTTTGATAATGTATTGTTCCTGTTGCAAATTTAAGCATCATATATTAGGAGACTAAACACTGAAAACAACTTTATTTCACTGATTTTGTAAATTGGAGTAATAGCCTAAATAAGTGTAAATAATCTTTATCAAAATTTAGTGTTTATCTACAAAGATGCGAATCAGTCAAGGGGAAATGTGTATGCAATGTGTGTATATATAATGTATGCGAATGTATGTGATTTTGGGGTACTAAAGCACAAAAAAATCCCCCATAAAATAAACCTTCCTGAAAAGACTGATCATAAACTTTTTCACTCCAAGCAGATGTGAATCAAGATGTTAGGTTTATGGTTAGTTTTGAGGTGTGTTGCCCTAATACTAGCCAACGTTGTAGCCATATTCCTTGCTGCTGCACACCGAATTGAAAATCCATCTCTTACCTCTACTCTGTGAAGCAAGCCAGGTATGTCTTGCTTAAGTATTTCTTCTCCATGAATGGCCTTAACATTATTTTGTATTCATATGTACTGTTTAACTGAGGGCCTCAAAGCACTTTAACCTGTTGTGTTCTATTTCCACTCATCTGGCCTGCCTCATTTTTCTAGGCCCTTTCATAAGCTGTAATATTTTATTACCACTCATGTTCTTTCTACACTGACACTATTCATTAAGAATGTCAAGCTTCATCCCTACTTACAGAAATCTCACCTTACTGAGTGGGTTCCACTTTATTTTTCATTTGTTATCTACATTTTGAAGGGCTTATGTGCAAAGTGAAAACAAATTTTGAAAAATAAGACAAATCCATTCTCTTTTTCAATTCAGTCTAATATGCATTGTAGTGTCGTTTAATCAGTCTTATCCTCTAAGTCAACTTTATTTTCCTCTTTGATTAGTGAGTACCCATACCAATATGTAAGATCTTATTGAAGTTTCCTGCGATAACTGAGGAACACTTTGCTATGCCTCACTGCCCAATAGGGTGGGTCATCAATTAGGAGAAATCCCAAATTATAAAAGCCAACATATGCCGTGACCTACATAGGAAAAGATGTATTTGTGCATCTTCTTTCTGGGTAGTTAAAAATTACTCCCTCTTTTCTCTAGCATTTTGACATTTCAGACTCAATGGTCTGATCTCTAGGGAGCGTGATTATTCAAACTAATGAGAGAGGACAAGACAGTTTTAGAATCCACTGCTGCTAAAGCACATTAAAAACAAATCCTGGTTTTCAATGTATGCATATTTTCATATTTAATTAATATGCTTTCATTAAATAGGGAGGTAAATTTGAAAAAACTGTTATAAAGAAATGTGCCTTTTGGGGAATGCATACTTTTGTTCATGTCTAGCTCACTGGGAATTTTCAGTTTTCAGCTTATACTGACCCCTTTTTCTAATGTAAAAATATTCCTTCAAAGTTTGATTTCTGTATCAGGATAACCTTGAGAACACACATATTTCTGTTTGAGGATTTGTGACTTCCTACGGAAACAGTCTTGTATCTATATTTACAAATGAAATTTAAAGTATTCTTAAAGCTTTTGCCTTAAATACTGCTTGCATACTGATTTACTTAATGCTATGCATGGCAGGGGTTATAAATTTAAATATTATAAGACCTGGCTGAATCCCAGATGTATCAATAAATTGTTATAGCAGCTTATGGAATAAAAATACTATTAAAGATAACTTTTCATACATTGTATTTTTAGTCAAGTAAAATATGGATGAAAATTAATAAAGTACTGTCAAGGGAAACAGTATAACCTTGTGAGTGATTTTTTTCCTCTTTATTAAAAAAAGATTTTATAATTTGGGCTCATAGTAAAAAATTCAAACAGTAGAACAGTGTGTATGTAGAAGGCATTCCCCACTCCCACTACAAGAGTTTGGGTATCATTCTAGAGGTGTTTTGTCAATACATAAGCACTTTTCATTTAAACACACACAGGATCCCATATTCTTCTATAATTTGTGTTTTTTAAAAAAACCACCATATTTCATAGATAGCTTTCCACTTAAGCACATTCAGAGTTCCATCATTCTTTTTTTTTTTGAGACACTGTTTTGCTCTTGTTGCCCAGGCTGGAGTGCAATGGTGCGATCTCAGCTCACTGCAACCTCTGCCTCCTGGATTCAAGCGATTCTCCTGCCTCAGCCTCCCAAGTAGCTGGGATTAACAGGCATGCGCCACCACGCCCAGCTAATTTTGTATTCTTAGTAGAGACGGGGTTTCTCCATATTGGTCAGGCTAGTCCCAAACTCCTGACCTCAGGTGATCTGCCCGCCTCAGCCTCCCAAAGTGCTGGGATTACAGGCATGAGCCACTGTGCCTGGCCTCCATCATTCTTTTCCAAGACCAGAAAATTTATTTAACCAACTATCTAAAGATGGACATTGTGATTGATCCCACTATTTTATATATAACTTTCTTTACATATTGAACATTGAAGGGGAGTGGGTGAGTCCTAGGAAACATTCTCTCCTAAAAGTTTACATTTTTCACTGACTAGAAGTGACCAAAATAGATTATACTGACGAGAAAAGACTTTTGAAAGCAGTATGGTCAGGTTGGCAGGTGAGTGGCCTCAAGAACTTAGGATTTCATTGCTACTAAAAGAACAAGCTATGACAGTTCTGAATCAACGATTTAGTCAAATACTGATGCTGTCTCAGATGAGTAACTGCAAATCACTTCAAAAAGTAGAAGGGTAGCTTAAATGTGAAAAAGGTTACTGCCACTTCATGTAGGGAAAATAACAAGTATTTGCAAATAGCAAAATAAAAAGAAAGAAACGGTTTCAGTACAAGCTCTTATACTCACTTGGTATCAAAACAGTCCAAAATAAATCTAGAAGCATGGCAAGTTATAGCTGTGTTAATGATGAAATGTGATATTTACTGTTTAAATTCAGCAGCTGGAAGAATCCCCTTACAAGGAAAATAGAAAATACGTTTACATCCAGACTGCATTACTCTTTGGAAAAATATGACCAATCAGATTTTCGGTATTATTGTTAAAACCTTTTCCTTCACCTCTGCATCATGGTGGTCAACTAAAGCTTTTATTTTCTGGGCACATTCTTCTCCATGTAACAGGAAAAACAGTGAACCTTCAGTGAAAGTAGGCTGCACAGCTAAATGGCCTTCTATTTTGAGGCAGTTATTTATATTCTGAAATAGTGTAAGTACTCGAAGAAGAATCTCCTTTGCTACGTGGCTGTCATAAAGGGAAAGGAATGATGAATCCACCTGAAATAGGAAACAATGAGTATTATTTTGTATTAATAATATATGAAAACATTTTTCACGTATATTTTAACATCTTAAAATTGCATTGAATAACTCACATTTAAAAATTTTTAAATTCACATTTAAAATGTGAATATCTCACGTTTTAAAAATTTTGTCATAGAAAATTAACCCAAAATTGCATAACTTAGATGTATAAAACCTTATGTATCCCCACGCTGTATACTAATGGAAAAAAGGGAGTGTTTTAGCTGGAAAAATACAATTTCCTTGTAATTTTAGAATGTGGTTATTTGGGAAAAACAACCATTTTTCTTTTTTAAGATCTGTCATATGGTTTTCATGGGAACTCATTATTTCATCAAACATTTAGTGCCCATACACTAGAGGGCGCAGAGCTGGGTGGGGAACAGGGATAAGCAGATGAATATGATGGTTCCTTTTCTACAGGAGTTAAGCTCCATTCTATCCCAGCATTCAGACCGCTTATCACAGCTTTTAATTACCTTGTTCACTTGTTATATATTTTTGTTTGTCCACTAGACTGTAAGCTTCATGAGGACATGTACCATGTCATGCTGTGCTCACTGGTGTGTCTCATCTAGAGTCTAGCATATGCTGGGGACTCAGTACTGCTGTTTCAGTGGATACTAAGATACATGTAAACACAAACAGGTCCAGTATAAAAGATGGAATGGCACAACTGTACTCAAAATTGGGTAGAGAAAAAAGTTATAATTTATTGTTGCTAGGGTGAATTTTTAAAAATGTTTTTCAAAAGTAAGTAAAATAGACCCATTGCAAAAAATTTAGGAAATTCATATATACAAAACGAATTTAAAAAATTCTTTAATACTGCTCCTCAGAAAGAATCCCTGTTAACATTTTAGGTTAAATCTTTCCAGATCTGTCTGCTCAAATTTATATATGTGTATATTTACAAAATAAACATATAAGCTATTTACTTGGGCATGAAGAAGTCCTTCTGTCATGGCTGGATTTTCAGACAAATTCAAAAGCAGTTTCAAAACTTGCACCTGAAAGAAGATGATACTAGCTTATCTCAGAGTGGCAAGCATGAATTTTCTCTCTCAGGCATGCTTTCTCTCACCATGTCTTCCAGGCCTGGCTCAAATTCTCTCTACTCCAGGAAACCTTCTCTATTCATTCTACTTTAAACGTCTCACTGTGAACTCTTATAACACTTGGCACCACTCTTAGAGAACCTATCACAGAGCAATGTTATTTAAACCTCACTTTTCCAATTACACTGTTAGGGAGATACAGAGTATACTGCAATTGTCCTGCACTACTCTTAGAGAACCTATCAGAGATAGAGGTTTTCTATCACAGTGTTATTTAAACCTATTTTTTCCCAATTATAATGTTAGGGAGATAGAATATTGCAAATGTCTTCACAATCTACCCTCAACTCACATGCACATCCGAAGAGATGGTAAGCTTAACATCTGTTAAATACACGATCTTTATTATGATTACTGTTAAGTGAAGTATGGCCAGGCATGGTGGTGTCGACACGGCCTGTAGTCCTAGGTACTTGGGAAGCTCAGGTGGGAGGATCGCTTGAGCCTTCCCACCTCAATGATGTTCAAGTTCAAGGATGTTCAAGTTCAAGGATGTAGTAAGCTATGATTGTGCCTGTGAATAGCCACTGCACTCCAGCCTGGGCAACATAGTGAGACCCTGAGACCCCATCTTCACCCCCCACAAAAAAGAAAGAAAGAAATATAATCTTTAAAACAACAACAAAAAAACTCTCAAAGCTCATTTCTACTTAAAGTATAAAAATTCTGGAACTGTTTGGTTACCAAGACTAAATAAATAACAATATGGCCCCTTTTAGTAAGCTACTATGAATCTTTGAGGCTATCTTCTAATGTGAAAGTGTTTTACAATCATATAAAAAAGCACAGTGATAAAAACTGACTGATGGGTTGATTGATTGAGATGGGGTCTCACTATATTGCTGAGGCTGGTCTTGAACTTCTGGCCTCAAGGAATCCTCTCACTTTGGTCTCCCAAAGTAACTAGGATTATAGGCATGAGCCACCATGCCCAGCAATGATATAAATAATAAGCAAATAAATGTTATTTAATGGCTGACTACCTAAAATATCAGCATTCTTATCACTTATAACTGAAAAGTCAGTAATAAAAAGACTCAAATAGAACGCCTCTTTTTAAAAACAAAGGCCATGTGAAATCATACTTTCCACAAGATACCTGGAACTAAAACAAGGAGCGTAGAGTGGGGGTACTAACTCAGGGAAATGTGACAAATGTGCTCTTCACTAGAGCTGGGAAGGAACCTGGATATTATTTTGTAAAAATTTTTTATTACAAAGGCAACAGATGTTTACCATAGCACTTTAAAAAAAAAAAATAGAAAAGCACAAAGAAAATGAAAATTTACCCATATTTACATAACTAGAAATGATCACGGTTAAGTTTTGGTATTTTTGGCCAGGTGCGGTGGTGCATGCTTGCATTCCCAGCACTTTGGGAGGCCAAGGTGGGCAGATAACTTGAGCTCAGGAGTTCAAGAGCAACGTGGGCAACATGGCAAAACCCCGTCTCTACAAAAAATACAAAAATCAGCCAGGCGTGGTAGCATGTGACTGAAGTCCCAGTTATTCGGGAGGCTGAGGTAGGAGGATTGCTTGAGCCTGGGAGCTCAAGGCTGCAGTGAGCAGAGATCATGCCACTGCAATTTGCCTGGGCAATAGAGTGAGATTCTGTGTCAAAAAAGAGAAAAGTTTTGGTATTTTCTTTTTGATCTTTATGCATATATCCTGTGTACTCACAATTCCTTTGATCATGTTGTAGATACTAATTTATTTGAGGATAACATAATACTTTGCTTAATTTTACTGTTTTTATCAAATATTTCTTTATTTTTAGAAAATTACTACTTGGTCATAACAAAAATTTTAAGTAATGAAAAAGAGAACAAGGTAAAAACAAAAGCCACCATGCTATTGGCCCCTTCCAATCCTCAGCAGTGACCACTGGTAACATTTCTTGAATATGCAGAGATTGTCTTTTTCAAACAGATGCTCTTAATAAATTAAGGTCTTTGGGAGTGAAAGAGTAAAGGAGACTTCTGACCCTTCTTTAGTGCACTCCGTGGTGGTCACTATCAGATCTCATCTGGCCTGACTCGCTGTCAGCAACACTAGGAATAAGTGTTAGGAAAAAAAAAAAAAAACACCTGGTTCCAATGTCAATGAAGTTTCAATTAGAAAAATAGGAAGAAGAGGTATGAAATAGGATGGTTCTGAACTTATGAAATAAGCCTGGATGAAGTCAAAATCTGAGACCCACTAATAGTCAATGAAGGCAGGTATACAACCAGGGAATAGCAACAGCAATAGCTATTTGGTACCCTGTATTAAAATCTGATGTTGCTACTCTTTGTAGAAAGGAGTTAAATATGAGAAATATATATATATACACACACAGAGTACAACTACAGATTAAACAAA